CAATGAACCTTACAAAAGAAAAGGGAAACGGGAAAGTACTGGCTTGCTCTCAGTCAGAGTGGAGTTAGTATGATAATAAAGCTGCAGTAAATGTGAACGGATAATATCCCTCCCAAACAACATGATCAAAGCAAATAAAACCACAAGAAAGAGTGGACAAGGGAGACCTACCAATCTGTTGACAAAATCGTATAGTATTGCTCTTGAGTACTAAACTTTATATATATATATATATATAGAAGGCATGTAGATGAATTGATCGGTGATCTTGAGATCCATAAGCTTGAGAAAGAAAATTCTTTTCTCTTTTTATTTTTGGAAAAGACCAACAGGAGGAAACCATAGTCAGTACCTGTCCAGAAAACATTGATTCTTCCATCTGAAAAGCCAGTTTCAAGCACAAATTTGTGGAAAATCCTGATAACAATGATATTGGCAGCGGGCTAACTTCACGCATCACCATTAACCTCTCGTTAGACTGCAAATTTGGTCCAGGTAAAAGCTCAGTAACCCCAGCGGAGGTTAACCAGTGCATCACAGTTTCACAAGCAGGCTGGGCCATTGTGTAGGACACAACCCAAAACATCCCAATTGATCTATCATCCAAATTCATATAATCCATTATGCGTTCTCCTGATTTTATGGAAATGAAAAAAAGATGATAATCAAAAGCCATCTCAAAGGAGAAGGGTTTGGATAGGCGAAGTAATACTCCATAGCTAGAAAAGGAAGAGATGCCCAGTTCCATCCAAACTTAGTATAAACATAAAGACCTCTGTATGTCCACTAGAATTGGCTGCATGAAAGCACAACAGAGAAGAGAAGACCCCTCTGACTCACATAAACGGAAAAAGGTTTGAGTAATACTAAATGTTAAGAACACAAGCTCACCATCCACAGGACAGAGACTAGGATGCATTGAGAGGGCTGCATACCAATTCAATCCAAGTAGGTTCTGCTCAGTTCCTCATGAGTTACCAAACTAAAGCCTACATAGAGCTCCACTGGACACGGAAAGTATCTTTCAGTTTGGGTTCAGCAGCTTGATTGCTGCTTGCCCTTGAAAAAGAGGTACTCCAACATTGCACGCCAAACAAATTACACTCGTGGTCCCCTTTATGTGACGTCACTTGACTAGACACTGAGCTTAAGATATTAGTTGGGCTTTATATATTGAGTACAAGGGAAGAAAATATCAAATGATGGTTGAAAAGTTAGTTTGATTAATATAACGGTAAAGGGCCAAGTATACCCCTGTACTATTGAAAATAGTTTGAATATATCCTTTGTTTCACTAAGTGGTTATTTCGGACCCTGCCGTTATACTATGGTACAAATATACCCTTATTTTGGACTGAGTGCCACGTGGCGGCATGGGATTAAACAGACACATCCCAATTTTTTAACCCCGTTCACTTAAACATTACCCATTACCCTACCCAAAGTCCCCCAAAATTAAGAAAAGCCCCGGGATGGAAAAAGAACCCTTATATCAATTGATAAGGAAGAAGAGCATGATCAGGACTGCGTCAACCAGTTTCTTCCCATAAATCGAATGCGACGGGTGACTGGAGCATCGCCGTCCTTTTCCCTAAACGGGAATCTTGTGGCATTGTTGGAATAATACTTACGGACTACTTCGCTGCAGCATCAGGAGCTTTGCTAGTAATTTCGGAAAGTTGATTTAGCTCCATGTCATTCACCATTGTTCTGTTAAAATTTGAAAGCAGGGAGAAGCTAAATCAAATAGTTTTGCCGACTTTCTATGATGTTGATCCTTCTCAAGTGCGAAAGCAAATTGGGCGCTTCGGTGAAGCTTTGGCTATCCACAAGGAGCGATTTGGGGTTCAAAGCATTGAGAAGGGGACAGCTACAAGGTGGGTATACTGGTGAAGTGAAAAGGAAGAAAAGAGAGAAGATTTCAAAATCCAAATAGAAAAGGAGTTTGAGATTCCAACAGTAATTTGATATGTTTTTCAATCTTTTTTCCGCGTAATTTGACAAAGTGGGCGAGGTGAAACAAGGGTTCTTTTTCATTCACGGGCTTTTTATAAGTGATTTGGGTTTGTGGGCAGGCGGGTTGTGTGTGTGTGTGGGTGGGGGGGGGGGGCGGGTAATGAACAATGTTAAGTGAACTAGGTTAAATTGGGATTGGGCTTTTTAATGCACGTGCAGCCACAATGGAAAAATAGGGTTATATTTGTACCACACAGCATAACGGTAGGGTCGCGAAAATAACCAACATAATGAAACGGAGATATATTTAACTATTTTCAATAGTAAAGGTATATGTAGCTAGGTGCCCTAAATTTTCCCTTGTCCCCGGGGTTTTGGATAGGACATATCAAATGGGTCTCCCGTAAGCAGTCTTTACCTTTACTTTCTGCAAGGGGTATTACTATATTTTTGAACTCATAACCTGCCTAGCGACGCAAACAACAATTCTTACCATTGCGCTTAGACTGCCCCTTCTTAGTTTGACTAGCTATAATTAACAAAATGGGACATCTAATCAAATTCAAGTTTAATTAGTATTGTGAGAACTGCACGGGAGAAAATCTATTATTGATATTCTATAAAGTATTTTACAATAGCCTATTTATAACTATACACAATACAATATTCTACTCCTGTTTCCATGTTGGACTAGGGTTATTTACATACTCTCTAACACTCCCCCTCAGCATGGTGCATACAAATCATATGTTACTGAGCTTGTTACATTATAACTATACGAGGACCGGTTAAAATATCTGCAAGCAACATCATTCGACTTACAAATTTGTTAATCAATATCTCCTGAGAGTGTCTTTTCTCTAATGAATGACAGTCCAATCTCAATGTATTTATTCTTCATGGAACACCGGAGTTGATTGCAATACGAAAGGCAGCTGATTATCACAACACAAGCTCCATCTTGTTTGATCTCACCAATATCAATTCTCTTGAGAAGGAAAATGGTTTTGATCCAAATAAGGTCATATCTTTCCACAGCCATTGCTCGATATTATGCTTCCTGCAACTAGACCCGACAACCACATTTTGTTTCTTGCTCTTCCAAGCACAAATAACCTCCTTTACTAAAGCACAATATCTAGACGTTTAGAACGCCTATCAGAAGGCTAGATCCTGCCCAATGTCGCATCTGAGTATCCAACAAATTCGCTCATGGCCTCGATCTTCAAACAATATTCCCCATATGTCTGGAGTAATTTTATACATTGAAAGAATGTGACAATACATCCCAATACTATCACAGGGAGAATCCCATAAACTGACTCACCACACACCCACATTAAAGGAAAATGGTTCAGTCTAGTCACTAATGAGGTATCTAATTTAACCAAATTGGAAGTATGCCTCAAACATTCTTGAGGGGACAGGAATGTCAAGCTGTAGACCTATTAACACACCTATGGATCCGAATTCTAAACTTCTACCAGGACAGGGGGACCTGCTTAGCGATCTTGCAAGATATAGGCGGCTGATTGGTAAATGAAATTACCTCACAGTAACTAGACCGGACATTTCCTTTCCTGTGAGTGTGGAAATCAGTTCCTTGATTCTGTGATAGCCATTGGAATGCAGTTGTCCGCATTCTTCGATATATAAAATCAGCTCCAGGCAAAGGATTATTGTTTGAAGATCGAGGCCATGAGCAAATTGTTGGGGCACTCAAATGTTGACCGGGCAGGATCACCTTCTTATAGACGTTCTACGTCTGGATATTGTGTTTTAGTAGGAGGTAATTTGGTGTCTTGGAAGAGCAAGAAACAGAATGTGGTTGCTCGGTCTAGTGCAGAAGCAGAATATCGAGCAATGGTTGTGGCAACATGTGAGCTAGTTTGGATCAAACATTTGCTTAATAAGCTGAAATTTGGTGAGATCAGCAAGATGGAACTTGTGTGTGATTATCAAGTTGCCCTTCATATTGCATCAACTCTGGTGTTCCGTGAGAGAACTAAACACATTGAGATTGATTGTCACTTCGTCAGAGAAAAGATACTCTCGGGAGATATTGCTACAAAGTTTGTGAAGTCGAATGATCATCTTGCAGATATTTTCACCAAGTCCCTTACTGGTCCTCGTATTAGTTACATATGTAACAAGCTCGGTACATACTATTTGTATGCACCGGCTTGAGGTGGAGTGTTAGATAGTCATGTAAATAATATGAATTAGTCCTAGTCCCACATAGAATAGGAGTATGATATGTATTGTATAAATAGGGCTCATTGTATTATAATTAAACAAAATATCAATAATAGATTTTTCTCCTGTACATTCTCACAATTCGTATGAGATATTGGTCGTATTGGATTAGTGGCATTGAGAGTTACTTTGAAATCGAAACGTTTGATTGTACATCCTATGTTTTATGTGTTTGTGATTAGACGATATGTCCATGACGAGAGTGTTCAACTCGAGAGGTGAAACTAGATGAAAATCAAACTTACGAGGAAGGTATAATATCCACTGTTAATAGACAAATGCGACAACTGAGGTAGAAGAAGGTTGCTTCAGTTAAAGTGTTATGGTGCAAACATCCGACAGAGGTTGCTACGTGGGAGTTCTATGCAGACATGCGAAGCAAGTACCTGTAGCTATTCGAGATGTTAGGTATACTTTTAACTCGTCCGAGGACAAACGTCATCTTAACTGGGGGAAAATGTAATAACCCCAATTTAGTTTGGGGGAAGTTATTTTGTAATTTAATCAAAAGAAGACAAAATTTAATAAATAAATAAGAGAAAAGGGATAGCTTGGAAAAAGGGGAAAGGGAGTCGCTGGTTTCGACCCAAATCAGAAACGCAAAAGGGGAAAAAATGCAGACAAATAAAAGAAAAGAAAGGGAGAAAACGAGAAAGAAAAAGGGGATAAAAATAGGAAATTTCAACCCAAAGCATCAAGGTAATTATCCTAAACTTTTATTTGAGTTTATTACGTGATTATGAAAAAAATTTAATGGTAGAAACATAGGGGAAATTTTGAAAATTTGAGAAAAGTCTAGTCCTAGAGTTCTTCAACCTAAATCATCAATTTGAAAGGGCAAACGTTATTAAAATTAGTGTTCTAGAATCCTCTGGCAGAGGAGAATCTGTTGGTGGACATGGTTCGGGAATTTAGTCCCGTAGACCATATTTAACTTTTTGGGTCAATGTTAGACAGCGAGTTTGTCTTGTTCTACAAATTAAGAGAATGTTCACCCTAACGATTTTGACCATTCTAAATCCATTTTTGTGTAGTTTGAGGTGATCTAAAGACCCAATAGTATAGTTATGGGCTATTGGAAAGGTTGCTCTAATCACGAATTGAGGTAGGTGAGACTTTAAGCTTTGATGTTTGCTTTTCAAAACCCATTTTAAAAATGTGTTTGTCTGTCTGGCTCATGTGTTGGGACGAGCATATGCTTGGCATAATCAGTGGTATTTGAACCAGCCGCATGTATATTATTTTGTTGAGAAATATAAAAATTATTTAATACTCCCTTCATCCCAATTTATTTGGCGAAATTCGTATTTCGAGAGTGAAACGAGTTTTTCTTTGGCTGGAATTATTTTATACCTTTTAGATATTTTAAATTATTAATTATTGTGACTTATAGTACTTTTTATGTAGTTTCCAAATATGTAAATTTTGTTTCAAAAAGTTTAAAGATTATATGTCTGAATTAACTGTCAAAATTAAGAAGTTTGACTCTCGAAAGCTGAGCTCCGCCACATAAATTGGGACAGAATGAGTATATGACTTGTGGTGTGGCGTGGCTTCATGCCATGGCGTTGGGGCATTGGAAATTATTTTTTCGCTACCGAAATATGTTTGGGGCACTATGTATCCTGCCATAATAGATTTGGAGCATTGTGCATGTTGTCGTGGACTCTTCGGGGTGTTTAATTAATTTTTTGCACTACTGTTTATGACAAGTCCTAAGTGTAGATTATGTTGAGATGTATGTTCTTGTTGAATATTTATTTTGATCTTATAGAGCATTATATTATAAAAACAATTTCTGTGAAATACTATTTATGTGGTCGTTGTGTGTTGTAAAGCAGCAATCGCGAGGCAGAACCACGATTGCGAAGACGGAGCAGCTGGCAGGATCCACGATTACAGGCAATCATCTTCTATCCCCAAGGCTACTGGGTCAGCCAAATTTATGTAATTCTGCCCCATCTATTTTTTAGGCCTAGTTTAAGGTAATTAAATAAGGTAAATGTTAGCTATTAAATTAGACTTAGGGTGTGTTTGGTATGAATTCCTGGAAAATGAGTGATTTATCACTAGTTTTCCATGTTAGATTGGCGAGTCGAAAAAAAATTGGAAAATGTTTTTTAGTGTTTGATTCGTGAGTAGAAAATATTTTTTTGGAAAATATATAATTTAGGCAAACACTATGGGCTGGGGGTGGGCGGGGGTTGAGGGTGGGGGTTAGTGGAGTAGGAAAAGAAGGTGGGAAAGCTTGTAAAATAGTTTTGGAAAATATTTCCCTCTTCTTGATAGAGAAAATATTTTCCTCCAATTGGAGAAAAATGAATTCATTGAGAAAATATTTTCCAAAACATTTAAGCCAACCAAACAAGGAAAAGTTGGAAAATATTTTCTGAAAAATATTTTCTTCCGTACCAAACACACCCTTAGTATAAGCAGTCATCTTAGAGTTTATTTTTCATTAGCTAGTTACGAAATTATGAAAATGAATACTCTTTGTGAGTTGGGGGCTTGTCCCATTTCTCTCCAATTAACCCCTCTTAATTACGACATGTTACATAATTCATGTATGAGTTTATTCCCCTCTCCATTGGATTATATCTTGTAATTGATTGTTATTTGGTTTGTTTCAAATATCATGTATGAGTTCCTTTACCTTCCCTCTTAGATATATCTTGTAATTGTTGCTTGGGGTTTACTAATTGCATTCATTATCTGATTTGATCCTTTTTTTCTTCTGTCCTTTTATTAGTGATTATTGTAGTGTTTGCACGGGTTCAACTAATCTATAGTTGAGTTCTTGTATTTGTTCAAGCCTAGTTCCTAATCCATCTATCCCTTTTATTGCTTTTCTACCTGTTTCAAGGAGTTCTTGTGGGTTCAATAGTTCAAATTCAATTTCCTTGAATCTTCCTAGGTTTGTGGTGATCAGATATAACCCTTCAGCAAAATGATTTCAGCCACACTAACTCCAAAAGTTTTAACACCTTAATAACTTGAATACAACAGAAGTGGCATTATTGTTTTGACTAGTTATCTGTGCTCACAGTCCATTTTCATTGTTTTGGTGGAATTGGTAAGATTAGAAGACAAAACATGAAATTAATAATGACCCAAAAGAGAAGAAATAATGACCTTAACATCAGAAAACAAAAGCAGCCAATATAGAGTAGGGGAGAGGCAATAGATATGTTGTTGGTTTACACATTATTTGTTGAATCTAAAATCTGTTGTGAAATGAACGAACATGTTTTAAACTGGTACAGTTAAATGAAAGGAGTACCTTTGTTAACCTGTCTCCACCATTCATCAATTTGCTTTCCCTTTTGTAGCTGCTCGTTATTCAAGTATTCTCTTGTTGCTGTATTTAGTGTCCAAATGCGCAAGTTCTGACAACTGCTAATGAAATCAAGTAGGATACTTTGAGGATTATTTGGATCAGAGCTTTTCTCCTCTTTATGGAACGAAAGAATTTTTCTGGTTGTCTCCACCTAACAGCAAATTGTGAGAGTCACCAAAAAGATACTACAATTGGCTCAAAAATCAAAAACTTACTTTAATTACTCAAAGTTATATCTTAATGAATCGCGGGAAGAAGAAAATCAAAAATGAAAAGGTACAAGAAGATTAGATACTAATGCTTTTAAACATGAAGAGAACTGCCAATGACGGATTTCTGGTTCTGCATCCGGAGGAGGAATTTTCTTTTTAAATTATGGTACACTTCAACCCCCAACCACCCCTCCCCCAACCCACCCCCATCCACCCACCCACAAAACTTCCAAGGAGCCAACAACGGCTTTTCCAACTTGCCCCCTTGGTGACTGGAACCACCCCATGGTGGAAGGCCATTCCCACTACGCGATCATTCTTTAGGAAATCTCGAAAACCAGAGACAGATAAATATGGAAAAAAAAACAATCAACTAGCACCAAAAACATCAAGGTCGCTACAAAACGATTGTATTAAAGTACAATCAGTTTATGTCCTCTTTATCTTAAAAAAGTGATCAGCATAAAGTTAAGATGGAAAACCTTTCTTGAGTCTGTATTTAAAGCATTCATCACTAGTTCAACCCGAATAATTTGTGCAAGTAACCACGTAACATGGTTCGTCCTAAGTATTTGTTGATCACCCTCTTGAAGTCGCAATACTAACTTGTCCACAAACTCCACAAAATCAACGCATCCACTTTTCACGAGAAAAAAGAATATATCTGAGAAGATAAGCCACTCCTGCCAGCAATTGATTTCTGCAGAAAGTAAGAAGAACAAATAAAAGCTATCAAACTAAGCCCATTACAAAGGTGGAAAGCACTTACGAGGAAGCAGAGTAAATCATTAAAGTTAACAATATACTAACTAAACACACAATATCTAAGAGCGGACATATTATGCGACCAAGTATGCAAGAGGACCTTTCCTTAGAGGCACACATCCAGGAGAACAGTTCTCACTTCTCACCCACAGCAAACACCAAGCAGCACATTTTATTGTCAAAGTTAGACAAGATAAACGGATATAGCGCAACAATTTTGAAAAACACTTTCAGGTCTTCTTGTACTTTTCTTTCAAAGCATCGGCACTTTGCTTTATGCCATGCCCTTGGATAGACCTTTCTGAATCAACTGTGGAAAGCAGTACTTTTTGTTCTGTATCAGATTAACAAAATTTACTTGCACAAGACAATAAATATTACAACTCTTTTAATCAGGATATAAAAGGTAAGCATCATGTTGGAAATACTCTAACCAACTAGTAATATTTGATAATAACATCATAAGAAAGAGAAGGGAAAAACAGAGTACAAATTTGGCAATTGCTAACACAATCTCAGGCAGAGCTTGAAGTTTGAGAATGTTGCCTGAATTAGTCAACTTCAATAATTCAACAATTCTTTCAATCGCTGCTTCGCAAACCATTTCCGACGTAAAAACGGCACCCGGAGTTGGAGCCTGGGCATGAAGCCTGTGACAGGGAGCCACGAGAAGCACACGCCTCCACCAGTCTGGTGATGGAGTGTTACGAAGAGCATGCTTTAGAATACGCAAAGCTCGCTCCCAATCCAGACTCCCTTTTTGAATGGATGCTGCAAGATCCTATTTCCAAATAAATGCAAGTAAGTTTACACACCACCAAGATTCTTTTAACTATAAAAGAGAGGCATTACAGATCAGCTTTTGCACAAGTGACAGAATATCCTCAAGATATAACCACTGGTCGATGTAAGATACATAAAGGTCTGGCAGTATACAGATAAACATTAGCACAAACAAATAGATAAAACTGATACAGGCATTATATGCTATAATTGTTTCAAGCAGATTGAAACTGGCCTTGGAGCTCGAGTTACATATTTCATCTCTTGGTCAGACATCGTTTCCGATGCAGCACTTCTGACTGAGATAAGTCGCTCAGCATACATGAATATGCCTCCAATATGATTTAACAATCTGATTCGACTAAGCGTATAAGATAAAGAGTTGTAACTTGATTTCTGTGTATCACTATCACCTAGAACCCCGTCCTAAAGATTATGAGGAAAATGTAAATATGATTTGCAAGGACTTGAATGGGTGACAATAGCTATAGCATACAATTCACTTGGTTGCTGCCTGTACTATCTTTTCATTAACCTAAGCCACACATAATCCGACTCCAAAGGGCACCCAAGGGCGTGGCCTACTGGTCAATAAAGTGAAACGGAAAAAAAAAATGGGAGACCACGATTCGAATCAAAAACACTTGGTGATTTCTTCCAGTTTGCCTAACTCTTGGTGGGAAAAGTTACCCTATACATCTATTTACGGGGAGATAGCACGTACCAGATGAAAAAATGGAAGTGCGTCCAAGCTGGCTTGGACACCACCGGTATCAAGAGAAAGTAGTAGCCGTAGTAGTAATAATAATAATAATAATAATAATAATAAAAAATAAATAACAATGAAAATAAAAATATTAATAATAGTCCGACTACCAAAGCTAACAGTACAAGCAGTTCCCAGACAATGAGTGTGTTTTCGGAATTTTTTATTCATAGGGACTCAAATCCTCCCCACCCAAAAAAAAAAAAAAGACTTGTCCCTTCTTTAGATTTGCAAGCAAAAACTTTTAGTTTGCAATATGGTCTCCTATATCATCCATGCCTTGCAAAAGAGAATTCTCTCATGCGACGCCAGCAACTCTTATGAACTAAAGGATTAATAGTAAATAACTTGAGATGGACACACAAAAGAAACTAACAAAACAAGGCCCTTATTGTGACAATCTAATCATCTAAACACTTCTTGATACGTACAACAACAGTATCGCCAGAAGTACCAAAGCAAGGATTGCTTAAAGAATTCTTAATTAGGCAGGAAAGTATACCACTAGGAATATGAAACAAGGTTAAATAGTAGAGAGAAATGACAGATAAATTGTTAAATAGTTAGTAATGTATAGTGTCCCATATCGGGAAGTAGATACCTATTATTATGTAATCACTGTATATAAATAGGGCATTGTACAACACTTTAGACATAATTAGTAAAACTTTCCGTGCTATACTTCTCACATGGTATATACAGCGTTAGAAACATCTGGGAAAGAGCCTCCGCCAGACAGTCGTTGCGCGTCAATTTCCGGCGACTTCTAGGGATGTTATTGCTTCACCTACGTTTTCCTCAGTGTTGTGCTAAAACCAACACTACTACAGGGTCCTACACCCTCCGGCGACCAAACACCAGCAAACCCCGCCGGAAAATAATTGTTGATTAGCATGATTCAAGGAGACTTGATTTAGGAGTGTTGATTAGCATGATTTCAGGAGATTTGATTATATTTAGGAGATCTGATTTTATTTGATTTAATTTGATTGTTGGATTGGTTGTATAGATTTATTTTATTTCCTTAATTAGCATTAGGAGCTTTGTATAAATTCCCTTGCTCATGGGATGTAAACATACACATAAATACAAGAAGCCTTTTCTTCTTCTCAAAATCTATATGGTATCAGAGCCATTGCTGCCTTTTTGAGGTGAGTTATCTCTCTCGCAGCACTAGGGTTCCTTTTTTATCAAAGAGGTCGAGTTTTCTTTCTTGTTAGCTGTCTGCAACACAAACTCCTTCTGATTGGGCTGAAATATGGAGACATTCAAGGAGACGGTTTTTGGAGAAATCTTGTCTTCGGATGAAATTCAGCTTCTCTGTCGCCTCCTAGCCAAACTTGTCTCCGCTAATGTTGCCACATCCAATCATGTGCAATCAGGTACTGCCTTTGCTGATAACTTGAATTCTTGGATTGTCGATTCTGGTGCAAATAGACACATGACAAGCTCTTCTAAAGACATTCAAAACTATTCTCCGTGTCCCAAAGGAGATAATGTTAAAATAGCCAATGGTTCATTAACACCTATTCTGGAAGAGGTTCTGTCATTTGTACTCCTAACATTAAACTATCATTCCGTATCAATCTTTTATCTGTTAGTGCCATCACTAAAGCTCTAAATTGTAAAATCGAGTTCTTTCCCGATTATTGTATTTTTCAGGATCTTCAAACAGGGAAAAGGATTGGCAGTGGTAGATTGCGTGATGACTTGTATATATTAGATGTGATTCGAAACTCTAGTCAAGCCTTTTTGGGGAAAATGAGAATGTCAACCAAGAAATAATACAACAGCATAGACGGTTAGGACACCCATCATTCTTTGTTTTGAAAAAGTTATATCCTGATTTGTTTTCAAGGACTCGATTTGAATCTTTGTTCTGTGATGCGTGTGAATATGTCAAGCATACAAGAAACTCTTATCCTATGAGTGATTAATAGAACCACAACTCCGTTTATGACTATTCATTCTGATGTATGTCCTACCCAAACTATTTCTTTGTCTGGTAGTCGATGGTTTGTTACTTAAATTGATTGCTGCACTAGGGTGACTTGGGTATATTTGTTAAAAGCCAAAAGTGAAGTTTTCTCTTGTTTTCAATCATTTCATAAGATGATTTGTACTCAGTTTGATGCCAAAATAAAAATCTTAAGAACTGACAATGGCAGCGAATACATAGATAAAAGATTTGGTGCTTATTTGAAGTCCAATGGGATAGTCCATCAGACCAGTAGTCCTTACACTAGTGCACAAAATGGGGTCGCTGAAAGAAAAAATAGGCATCTGTTAGAAGTAGCAAGATTTCTTATGTTCACCATGCATCTACCAAAACCTTACCGGGGGATGCTATTCTAGCGGCTGCCTATCTTATCAACAAAATGCCACTTAAACCCCTTAATTTTCAAAGTCCTCTGGAAACTTTAAAGGGTAAGAATGAATATATTGTTCCTCCAAAGGTGTTTGGGTGTGTTCAATCCTCCGAAGTACCTCAAAAGGTCCAATGAACCGTGGACTCAATTTACCCTTCTTTCCAAACCTCATAACACCCTTCATGGGTGAAACCTTCAACAGAACTTTCTCACCAACCATGTAGGACACATCAAGAACCTTCCTGTCAGCATAGCTCTTTTGTCTCGACTGCGCTGTACGAAGCCTCTCCTGAATCACCTTCACCTTGTCTAAAGCATCCTGCACCAAATCTGTACCCAATAGCCTGGCCTCACCCGGCTCAAACCAACCAACTGGAGATCTACACCGTCTCCCAAACAAAGCCTCATATGGAGCCATTTGAATACTCGACTGGTAACTATTGTTATAAGCAAACTCCGCGAGCGGTAGAAACTGATCCCATGACCCTCCAAAATCAATGGCACAAGTGCGTAACATATTCTCCAATATCTGAATAGTACGCTCGGACTGTCCGTCCGTCTGAGGGTGAAAAGCTGTGCTCAGCTCAACCTGAGTACCCAACTCTCACTGTACAGACCTCCAAAACTGTTAAGTAAACTGAGTGCCCCTATCTGAAATGATGGAAACTGGGACACCATGTAACCGAACAATCTCCCGGATATATATCTCTGCTAACCGCTCTGAAGAATAAGTAGTACAGATAGGAATGAAGTGCGTGGACTTGGTCAGCCGATCCACAATCACCCAAATAGCGTTGAACATCTTCAAAGTCCGTGGAAGTCCAACCACAAAGTCCATAGTGATCCGCTCCCACTTCCACTCTGGAATATCCATCCGCTGAAGCAAGCCACCCGGTCTCTGATGCTCACATTTCACCTGCAGACAATTGAGACACCGAGCTAAAAATCCCACAATGTCTTTCTTCATTCTCCTCCACCAATAATGTTTGTCTCAGATCTTGGGACATCTTCGCGGCTCCCGGATGAATGGAATACCGCGAGCTATGGGCCTCCTCCAGAATCAACTCCCGAAGCCCATCCACACTGGGCACACAAATCCGGCCCTGCATCTTCAACACCCCATCATCTCCAATAGCCACATCTCTGGCATCATCATGCTGAACTCTGTCCTTAAGGACAAGCAAATGAGGATCATCATACTGGCGCTCCCTTATGCGCTCATATAAGGAAGATCGAGAAACCACACAAGCCAATACCTTACTGGGCTCCGAAATATCCAACCTCACGAACCGATTGGCCAAAGCATGAACATCAACTGCAAGAGGTCTCTCGCCAACTGGGATATACGTCAAACTCCCCATACTCACCGCCTTTCGGCTCAAAACGTCGGCCACTATATTGGTCTTCCCCAGGTGATACAAAATAGTGATGTCCTTAAGCAACTCCAACCACCTCCGCTGCCTCAAATTGAGATCCTTCTGCTTGAACAAGTGCTGGAGGCCACGATGATCAGTATACACCTCATAAGACACGCCATACAAATAATGCCTCCAGATCTTCAACGCGTGAACAATGGCAGCCAACTCCAAATCGTGAACATGGTAGTTCTTCTCATGAGGCTTCAACTAACAAGAAGCATAAGCAATAACTCTACCCTCCTGCATTAGAACACACCCAATACCAACTCTCGAAGCATCACAATATACGGTATAAGAACCTGAAGCTGATGGCAGTACTAGCACTGGAGCTATGGTCAAGGCAGTCTTGAGCTTCTGAAAGCTCTCCTCACACTCATCAGATCACTGAAATGAACCACCCTTCTGAGTCAACTTGGTCAAGGGCGATGCAATAGACGAGAATCCCTGAACAAACCGGCAATAATCACCCGCCAAACCAAGAAAACTGCGAATCTCTGTAGCTGAGGACGGTCTGGGCCAACTCTGAACCGCCTCTATCTTCTTCGGGTCCACCTGAATACTCTCGCTGGACACCACGTGCCCCAAGAAAGCCACTGAACTGAGCCAGAACTCACATTTGGAGAATTTTGCATAAAGCTTCTCCTCCCTCAATCTCTGCAACACCACTCTCAAATGCTCCGCGTGCTCCTCCTGACTACGTGAGTATACCAAAATATCATCAATGAAGACTATGACAAACGAGTCGAGATACGGCCGGAACACACTATTCTT